TTACATTTTGCTTTCGGGCTCATGTTCCTGCAATATGGCAGTACTGGATTACGAGAATGCTGTTTGCTAAAAGTGAACAATGGCTGTATTACAGCAAGTCTGTAATGCCTAGAAAGAAAAGGAAAAGCAGACCTGACAAAGCACACTTTCTTGTTAATTACATGCAGATTGCAAATGCTCATACATCTAGTGAGTAATAACTAAAGCCAAGCCGACTTGGAGATATTTTTACACTGCTGATCACACAGCAAATCCAGTTACAGGGCCTGAAAATTAATTACAGATTAGGACTTAATATTTACTACTGGAAATATTATAATGCAGCTTTATTAACACTTAGCCTATACATTGTTCAAGTATGACGGACTTGCCAGATAGGAAAACTTAGGTTGTGAGCTACCTATAAAGGGAACACCTCAGCCCACCTCAAATCCCATCTGACAACAGATAAGAATTCCAGCAAAATGCAGAAAACACAACTAGGGCTATGGACTGACCAAGGATTAAACTAGCAGAGCCACCTCCAATTCCACCATTATAAGACTTCTGAGTGCTTCACTTGGTAACTGACACAAAATCCTCAGCACAACTTTGTCACTTAAACAAAAACACCATGCAGCAGGATTTCAGCAACCAAATACACATTCCAGGGGTTTTTCTGAGATGCCAAAATATACTAACAGCACAGACACAATTCATTTCCTACATACAGGATAGGGTTGCACGCTTTTTAAAAAGTCAAGCCCACACATATGAGCACCTCTTGTCTGAAATCAGCCCCAAGTGTATAATCCCTATTTCTTCTACGCCGTAAATAACAGTGAATGGTTTCCAAGAATTTATTGCTTACTTCCACTTGAAGTAAGAAACAGAGAAAAGTCCTGAAAAAACACAAACTATCTGAATTTTATAAACCAAACAGACCACATAAAATAGAGCTAAGCAGTGACATAAGAAACTGTGCAATAACTTGCACCAGAACCAAGTGATAAGTAAGAGATAAATCTGACCTAGAAAGAGCAAAGTACCCAATATGGATGAGGAAGGGATGCAGGAAAATCTAACAACCAGCAAATCCCCCAGTTACTACAAGAGGAGATGTTAACCACCATCCTCAATACTATTAATCAGCTGCTCTAGCACTACATAATTTTTCAGAAGTGTGTGACAAGGTGTAATGAAAAACAATGTAAATCACAAACAAAACTTTCTTTATTGAAACAAATCTGTCCAAACTCCTTGAGAGCTTGAATATTTAGCTCTTTAGCCACTCCTTTCAAGATAAAATTTACACCTTTCATTCCAAATAAAGAACATCACACACAAATGAATAGCAAGGCTTATGAATAACAGGACTGAATACCATTCTTCCTGCATTTTTTTTTTTAATTCTTTAACTGGAAGTAAGGATTAAGAGACAAATAAAAAACAATGCCTACCTTTGACTTCTGTTCCTCTGTAGTAAATGAACAATCAGTACATACAACATAAATGAATTAACATTTTGGAAACTAACATCAGGGATATGATCAAAAGACACCAGCGTTCTCTTAAGTTTCAGAGCATGAGGTGACAAGGCTAAAAGCCTGTCAGTTACACTAACACAAGGATTGCAGATGTTATTCTGGCAACTTATGTTATTAGTCACAAAACTTATCTAAAAGAAGTTTAATTAAAAGCTGAAAAAGAACAGCTGAAAAACAACTTTTCCTTCTACATTTTTCCCTTTAAATTCAGCATTGCTTTATGCCCCCTTATTTCATCCTCTCTATCTTTTGAAGCTATAATTTAATTACTTTCAGTGTATTCTTCTAGCTGTAGTCTTACTGCCCTTGCCACTTTGAAACACTTTGTCACATCCGTTCTGAAAGGCAAATTTTCTCCATCCACTGATAAAACTGTTTTATTAAACAACCTACACTTCCACCTGACATGAAGAAATAGACATCTTAAGTAGCTTAGGAAAATTATCAAGTCAGTCTTCAGATCCTTTGTTTTTAAGCCCTATGTCAAGGATAGGTACCAAAATCTATATTGTCTATCTCAGCTATTGTCCATGACTTCACTTTATGCATCTGTGAATGTTCAACTAGGGATCCAAACATCACCATCTGAAAATGAAAGATATAACCAAGTGCACAGTAAAAATAAAATGAGCTTTCTCATTACTAAAAACTGCACCCTACATAGCTTTGGAAGTGCTGCATACAAAAAACAAATTCAATGTGCTGGGCTGCAGCACATTGATTTTGGAGAAGGATGAAACAAAATAGCGTAACATTTTCTAAACTGGGAGAAGCTGTTGACTCCCTCTAAGGCAGAGAGACCCTCCAGGAAGACCTAGACAAATTAAGGGCTGAATAATCACCAACCATGTGAAGTTTAACAGTTTAACACCTGGGATGGAGCAATTCTGGATGTACAGACAGACTGGTGGAAAAGCGTCTGGAAAGCAGCACTGCAGAAAGGGAGCTGGGGACCCTGGCAAGCTGAATGAGAGTCAGCAGTGCCCTGGCAGCCAGGAGGACCAGCCCTGTCCTGGGGGCATCAGGGACACCATCACCAGCCAGGCAAGGGAGGGGATTGTCCCACTCTGCTCTGAGCTGCGGCAGCCTCACCTCAAGGCCTGTGTGTTTTGGGCACCACAATAGAAGATGGATATAAAACTTTAGGAGAACATCAAAAAGAGAGCTACAAAGTTGGTGAGGAGCCTAGAGGAGAGGAAGGGCCTAGAGCCACTCAAGGAGCAGCGGAGGTCCCTTGTTTGTTCAGCCTGGAGACTGAAGGGAAACCTCATTGCAGTCTACAGCTTTCTAACAAGGGGAAAAGCAGAAGCTTTAAGCTAAGTTAGGGAGGTTTTTTAAGATGGATATTAGGAAAAGATGGCTGGGCACCGGAACAGGTTCCCCAAGGAAGTTCTCAGGACACCAAGCCTGATTTCAAAAAGTGTTTGGACAACACACTCAGGCACACAGTATGATTCTAGGGGAAGTCTTAGGGAAATCAGGGCCAGGAACTGGACTGGAGGATGCTTGTGGGTCTATTCCAACTCAGGATAATCTGTGATTTTATGAACGTAAAACCTTCTGAACATGTTTACTACCAATTTATTTATTGGACCTAATGCCACAACCACAGTTTCTTCCCAAACTATGGCTACCAAAAAACTCCTCCCATACAAATCACAACATAATTCACAGGTTCTACAATCTGAGCTTCAGATGACTCCTTGATATTCACTCCCTACTGCCTTTCAAAGCCATGAGAATACTTATGTCTTTTGTGACCATAAAATGAAGTATCAGTCATGGTAACAATTTACAGAACTGTGATCCTCCCTCTTTTTTTCTCATATATGAGCCTAGAAGCAGTTAACAACGACGACATTAAAACCTAGCGCACCAGGGCATTTGGGTTAACACCTTGCTAATACAAACAGGGCAGCTCACACCTCTCGCAGCTATCGCTCCAGTCTCTCTACTACCTTACTTAGACATCTCCACGTTTCGTTCATTCTGAGGTTTTCAACAGAGCTGTGTAAGCCAGAAACTGATGGGGAGCGGGGGGAGGGAAGCAAAAAATAGTGGATAACAAGGTAGCAGATTTAGAGAGGTGTCAGTAAGCAATGTCACTGCTCAGGAGATGAATCTCAGCATTGGTGCCACGCAGCAGGTACCCAAAGTACACCCTTAGCAGTCCTACCACAGCTAATATACAACCACAGTATAGTTTGGAAGGAACAGATAATGTCATTATGTTACATACATAAACATGGAAGCAGAATGCTGATGACTTCAGTGTATGGTGCCATGCCTTTTTTTCTGCACTGAAATCACAACAGGTTGAATCGCTGGGATTGGCTCAGTTGGTTACAGCATGCTGCTAATAACACCAAGGTTGTGGGTTTGATCCCATTATGGACCATTTACCCAAGAGTCAAACTCGATGATCCTTGTGGGTCCCTTACAACTCAGCGTTTTCTGTGAATCTGTGAATTAACTAATGTAGTAACTAGGCTTTTTCCAAAGGACAACTGGGAAGTGAAACTGCTCTGCAGATGAACATCCACCAATTGAAATGCCATGGTAAGTTCTATAACGTTTTCTTAATTGAGTAATAGATCAATGCTTAGAGGATACAATCAATAAACCCAGAATGTAACTACTCTATGAACGCCTTGTTTGCAAGGCCTGGAGAGCCAGGTGCAAGACAGGTTTCCATCAGAAACTGAGAGCCTGGCCTTGGCCAGCATCCTTCAGCTTTTGGAGAAGCAGCCACAGGCGGCAGGGACGGAGGTGCACAGCCACGACCACTGCAGGTCCCCACCACCTACGGGAGACTCAACACCTTGCATTAGCTAAAGGGAATGGCCTTTTAAGACACCAAGCCGAAGGCACCTGACTCGGAAATTCTGGGCACAGTAAGAGAACACTACATGGGTATAAAGGCCACGGGCTTACATTCACTCCTGAGGACACGTGTCTATAACCATTCGAACAAGACCTCGGTAGCACGAAGCCGAGGACAACATCATCTCGATGCTTTGCCTTTACGTTTGTTACACAGCCAGAGCGGCTACAGCAGGCACCCGCGGGCGCCTGGACGCCCCGGAGCTGCCTTCGCCCCGCGTCCTGCCGCTGGAGGTCACGGCAGCAGAGCGGCAAGGAGGGAAGCAGGGAGGTGGTTCCGGGAGCCCGCTGAGGGCACCAGGAACGTCCCAGTCCGCCGGGAACCTCGCGGAGGCCGGGCCGGAGCCCCCCGGGCGGCCCTTCCCAGCACCCACCGGCGGTGCGCCGCAGCCCAGGCTGCCGCCCTCTCCGGGGGTGTGAAGGGCCAGCGGAAAGCGACGGGGGTTTCCCACAGGAAGCCTTGGCGAGGCGAGCGGCGGCGGGGGGAGAGGAGGGCGGGGGTGAAGTGAGTATGTCTGGGGGGCGCTCCGCCACCCCGCCGTCCTCCCTTCTTCCCTCCCTCTTTCCCGCCCGCCCGTCGGCCGCCCCTACCTGCGGCGCCGGGGGCAGGCTCCATCTGCGGCCCCACGCAGCGGCGGCAGCTGCGCACACCGTGCGCGCGCTTCCCCGGGTTTGCGGCGCATGCGCGGCACTGCCCGACCGCTCCTCCCCGCGTCGGGCGGAGACCGGGGCTGGGAGCGCTGGGGGCGAGGGGTGCCGCGCGCGGAGGGTGCCGCGCGTGTGGGCGGCCCTGAGGCACCGTGACTGGGCCGCCACTGCGGTGAGCGGCGCCGAGGGACCGTGGGTGGGCTGATACTCAGTGGGTCACCGAGGGATCACAGAATGGGTCAGGTTGAAAAGGGGCCACAGTGGATCATCTGGTCCAACCTACCTGCGCAAACAGGGTCATCCTGGAGGATTGCGTCCGCATCGTTCTGGAGTGTCTCTCGTGAGGGACACTCCACATCGTCTCTGGGCAAGCCGTTCCAGTGCGTGGTCACCCGCACAGTAAAGAAATTCTTTCTCATGTTCAGGTGGAGTTCCCTGTGCCTCAGACTCTGCTGGTTGTCTCTAGCCCTATTCTTTGGCACCACCGAGCAGAGCCCGGCTCCATCCTCTTAAAGTGGGAGTGCCCGCCACCCCCACTTTAGATATTTATATACGTTGATAAGTTCCCCTGTCAGGTGTTTCTTCTCGAAACTGAACAGGCCGAGGTCCTTCATCTTTTCCTCATAAAAGAGATGCTCCAGTCCCCCGCTCATCCTCATTGCCCTCCGCTGGATCCACCGCAGGAGCTCCATGTCTCTCTTGTACTGAGGAGCCCAGAGCTGGGCTCCTGACAGGCCTGGGTGCTGAGCACCAGGCTCCCGGGGAACTTCAGGGAAGCCTGTGTGTGTGTCTGCTTGTGTGCAGCCTCTGATGGGGACTGGTGTCACATCCTCCAGCCCTTGGGGTGTCTGAGGCTTCCACAGCAAGGACTTGAAGTGGCAAAGGATTGGTGGATGTTTTTATTGATGACTTGGTTTCTGACCATAAAAAGGGGCTTCCCAGTCGCTGGACGTGAAGTCCCTTCTCATGCCTCAGTGTTGCTGGGACCACATTCCTGTGACAGCAGTGCAGTTGACAGAGGAGCCAGGAAATCCAGTGTCCCATCTCCAGCTTAGTTAGGAGTCTGCAATATATTTGAAATATTTGGTCAATAATTGACCAACCTTTAGTTATTATTTGCATGAGGGAAAAATAACCACTTCAGGACACAAAACATGGAGTAAAAAAATTAATTTAAAAAGTGATAAATTTCCATAAATTGTCATACACTTAAAAACCCAAGAACATGATTCCTGAGAAATTAAGAGAAATGAGAAGTAAGGAGACATATCCAAAACTCAGGACTTGTTTTAACAAATACAAGCCTGAATTTTCAGAAAGCCTACCCTCTTTTCCTATCTTTAACATTTTAGACTGACTAATTATATGAAAAATCAGTCATTTTATACAGTAGCCTCTTACAGGAGGCTGAAAAAATTCTTCCAAATATAGCATTTCCTCTATTAGCTGGCGCTGTTACTTTCTGTACAGTGGAAAGATGAGTTTTAAATGTTACATTCTCAGGGAAGTGAGAAACCCAGGAGCCTTCCCCAAACTTCCAGATTGTATGCCTCTGGAAGATAATAAGCAGTCTAGAAAATTCAGTAGAAGGAATTTAGATAATACCAGGTTATTTATTATTAGAATGATTTTCCATCAAAGTTTCAAGTTTTTCCCCAGACTGACATTATTTTCCCCATTTGAGAATTTAGTCTCCTTATTAGGAAATATATTGTTTCAACTTGAGGCCACACTAAGAGCTAAGTTCTTCGTGTTGGTGCATTCACAGAAATTAGTAGAGCGTGATGTAGGGAAAAGCTTCTACATGAATGCTTTTGGCCTTACTGATCTAGAGTATTTCTGCTTTATACCATTAAGTGCCTTTATGCTTTCCTTTTTTTAACCACAAGTTTGATCTCATTCCTTAGAGTAAAATATGAATATTACACTGGTTTTCTGTAACTTTATACCACTTCAGTTAATGTTTATGTACTGTTTTGAGAATTATAATTGAACAATGCAATGCAAATGCAACATGTGAATTTGTTTGTATTTGTTTTATTAAAGGATTTTGGCTATGCCACTTCTGCAATGAATATAAGAGAGTGTTAAAAAAAAAGATACCAGCCAATCTGCAAAGAGTTCTTATATAATCTACAAAGAGAAAATACAAGAAAACACATGATACAAAGAGGAGCTTTCAGCATGAGAGCCAAAAAAGGGGAATGTATGCTTTCAAAGTAAGTTGAGTCTTTTAAAAAAAACCATTATTTAAGTTAGTAATTTTTGCTGCTCTTAAACTCTTGGCTACTGATATTTTATATACGCTCTGCAAAATTAGAACTCTCATGGTTTCTTTTACTAATGAAGATCTTTGAACTTACATGTCAGCTCTGTGTGTTGTGTTAATTTGATCTGTTTCAGGCCAGAACTTTTGCTGCTTCTTTCATGGAAACAGTACCTACAAAAATAAATGTCCAATAGCTTTGTAGCTTGGAGAAGCTGTCTGCTGCTGCTGCTTCTTCCAGGAGCAGGTCTGGAAAGCAGAAACAGGACTTTCTGTGAGTTTTCCAAGTCTGACAGACAAGAACCATGAATGCTGAGAAGTGCAAAAGGGACTAAGACACACCTTGAGGAAATAAGAACAAAGGAATAAAAGTTGACAGAACAACTTAGTTCTGGAGATTTGAGGGTCAGAAATAGTTTTTGAGGGAGGGCATATGCAGCTGTGAGTCTGATAACAGTCTCATGCTATTTGGGTCTAGTAGCAATTATCAGAAATTAGAAAGTATCAGAGAAAGTGTTATCTTGACAGATAAGCAAATAAGGCTGACATGCAGAGCAGGAATAGCATAAGACAGTCAGGTAGCAACTGTCCACAAAGGGCTTTATATTAGGAGTAATATCCTGTGTCTGACTTGGGAGCCTGTGCAGTGATCCCAGGAAGTGGCACAATGGCTGGCTCAATGACACAGGATAATTATGTTCTTACAGCAGCTTGAATAAACAGAAGCAGAACAGTTTTTGCCACCAGAAAAGAGAAAGTTACTGTGTGAGAGATGTGAAGTGTTAGGTGGATATCAAGAATTTTAGTGGTACAAGCAAAACTTTGTAAATACATGTTTTATATGCAGTCTTGATGTTAATATGATCATCAACTTATATAGAGAAAAGAAAAATTTACTTCCTTCATTAATGTGGAAGTGCCTGTGAAAATGAGCTCCATCCTGTAGGAGCATCCAAGGGTCTAAAGGGATAGTTTATTGAACAAAAAAAAAAAAAAAAAAAAAAAAAAAAGAAGTGCAAAGTGGGTCTTCCTTAAACATGAGGTCTAACTTAACTTGTATCTTATCCCAGGAGAGAGTTTTGAAATGACATCTGGAGTATGCAAATTGTCTTTAGTCAGATCTTTTTTAATACGAATCTTGCACAACTTGGGCAGCCCTGTGAAGTTGTGCTGAAATGTGTGGGGCATTTGCCATGTAGCACTTGGATACAAGTTTGTACTGTATGCTTCGTTTGACTGAAACACTTATCTGCTAAACTTGCTTAATTGGGACATCTCCTGGGGCACTGGTGTAAGACCAGTACTATTTAATGCACACAACTGCTCCTTAACAGGGCCCTAACAGAGCAGAGTGCCCCTGGTTGTTTGGTGCTGCTTATGTCATCTCTCTGTCACAGTTTCTTGGAGTTTGTCTATACAAAGAAAATACTCCCTGCAATTAATTCCCTGAGGGTAAAATACTGGGTGCAGTATTGGAAATAGACTGATGATGGTGGTCACAATTTCTGCACTGATTGTTACAGTGGGGAAGATACAATAACTTTCCTTATAGTCTTGAAGGGTGCTTGAGATAATGTTTTTCTTACAAAATTTTAAAAACCCTATATAGTCAGAAGTAGTGATGGTAGGTTACAGTAATTTCTCTGTTTCTAAGATTCATATTGTCATTTGATTAGCTAATCACCCATTTTCCAAAGTGTGAACATATTTTCGCACTTCAACCAAGACAGTGTTAACAAAGAAACTATAGATAGCAATAGAGATTAATTATCTGTCCCGTGAGTCCCCACACCTTGTTTTTACCAGATAAAGAGAGCCTATCTGTCTGCACACAGGTGTGATTTTTTTTTTTTAAACAATAGTCTTGGTCAAATGAGTTCAAAGGCTTATTTTCAAGTGGCACCTCTTAGACATGTTTGCTCGCTGTTGGTGTTTTTGATCTTGTTTCATGAAATACGACTACCAGTAAAGGGTTGTGATTCTTTGCTAAGCTTACCCATGTGAAATTCATTCATAGGTGTGAGATGTGGGGGAGCTTTAAATGAGAATATTTAGAATCAAAGAAGTGTTTCCTTCTTTTCTGGAGGGAAAGTATTCTTACTGAAGTTACTGCAAAGTTGTTGAGGGCCTTATTTGCAATTGCTATCTGAGATTTTCACTGACTTGAGACATTTTCCAGAAGAGGGAAAAACACAAAGGAGTTTTAGTGTCTTTCTGTTGTACAAGTTTCAGCATTTTGTATTTATTCCCCTACAGAATTAAACCCATCCATATGTCTCTTTAAGGATAGGACATCTTTACAGCAGAATCTGTTACTGTAGGAGCATTAAGCATATTGAACTATTTCTGCCCTGTCTTATGATTCTCTAATTCTGCCTGTTCTGGATGTTAGTGGATGCCAGTGTGTTGCAGACCTCTGAACCTGCAGCCTGTCAAGCCTCACTTAAGTGATGTGAGACTTGTGCAGTATTTTCACAGTGCAGGCACTGGCACTGCATTGCCTTGGCCTTTCTTGCTCTCAAAGAACACATGGCTTGTTGCTTGGTGGTAAGCTCTGTGGTGGTAGTGCCTACCTCGAGTCCTGTGGACTGTTTCTTACCACTTCACCAAGAATGAAATCTTTCCTTTCATGGGCCTGAATTTCCACTCAAGTTTCAGGGCAGTTGGGACCATCTAATCAGGGTGAATAGCAAAACTTGCTGTCCCTAGCAAGGTGTCACTGAAGTTGTATATAGGGAACTGGCCATCCACTCAAGTTGAAAAATTGCATCAAATAATAATTCT